CTTACATTAGAAGAAATACTAATGCAGAAAAACTGACATATTTTAGGATATTTTAAGAATATTTTCAGTTCAGTTCTACATTGCTGGTGAATCCACAATCCCATGACTTCAGCAAAAACCTCTGCAGTGAAAGTAATGTGGGATAGCCACCCTCAGCCTCTGTTGTGCATATTCTTGCCAGACTTTAAGAATATAATCAGTCCTACTAAGTAAAGTGGGATATTATGCATTTCCAGAGTGGTATGGAGCTCTAGACCTTATACTGTCTCTACGTTAAAATTATTTGTGAAAACTTGTTTCACCAGAATGTGAAAGAGAAAGATTTTTCTATTGGCTCAGTCCTACTGCCCTTGATTCCTGGGACTGAAAAATCTCAGCAACTTTTTTCTTAATAAAGATAAGGATATACACTTCCTTTTAAATAATCAGAAATCTGAGGCTCTCAAGAGCTTTGGAAGAGTCTTGGTTTTGGCCTGTCCATACAGACACCTATTATTTCTCCTCTATTCATACTCATTCTTACAATTCCAGCACCTGCATGACTTTATGTCCACAAGTGTAAGTCAAATGAAAGTCTACAATCCTGGTAGCCCTCACTTGGGCCTTAAAAATCCCTCCCCTCCCAAAATATAAGGTGAGTGGATATGCTTTAAAAATTCCATTATTTCAGTATTTTTTTTTCTAGTGTATCCTTCTTCCAGGTGTGGCCTCCCTTATTTTTATCTCGTAGTTGACATTTTACAAGTTATTTCGGAACTGCAAAACTATTTTTATTGTCAAAATCCTGAATGGTTAAATAATGACTAGCTTTCACAGTTTGACTCTTTATTTATTTTATAATCTGGTTGAGACACTAAATTTAGCTGTTAACTAATAGACTGTCTGTTCTGGGAAATAACTTATTTTCCACCCCTGCACACAAGGTTTATGAAAGTCTGGCTGTAAATATATGAATATAAACATATCGCTGCTTGTTGTAATCATGTACATTTTTACTTGAACCTCCATGTGGATTTGGAATATGCTTATGAATAGAGCTTTTTTTCATGTAAATAGGATCAAGCAGTACCACTGGTTAGCTATTCAGAGAATCAGACAATATCACCCTTGCTGAAAATACTTCAATAAAATTTATCCATGTACCTAATATTTGAACACAGACTTTTTGCTTTCTAGTTCTCTGTTCTAATCCCAGATTTTATTGACTGACAATGAGTTATATGATGGTGTTAAACTAAATGCAATCTATTCTATCTGTTTTTATCGCTGCATACTTCAGGTTTCAGCCGAGGAGCTATAAGAAAAGAGATATTTTTTTCCTCTTCAGTGGCAGCCCAAAAAATTCAGAGAGCAAAAATCCTGCCAACAGTTCTCAAGCCAATTCTATATCTCCGAAGAGAAATACATGAAAATGAAAAGAAGATTTGAGTTTGATATAGCATGGAACATTTTTCCCCAGCCTTTTCATGTACCAGAAAACCCAGTGTCCATAACTAAAAAAATTATTTCTAAAAGAAACAAACAATGAAGGGATTTTCATGCTTATTAAACGATATATGTGGGCACTCACAATATGAAAATAGAGACAATTTGTGAATAAAACCACGTTCTTCAAACTAACCTGTACATTTCTATTTATTTTTTAGAAATCTATAAATATTTATACACTTACCTGCACCTTAAGTGCTTTAAAATAAATGTACAAAATGCAGGGATTGCAAATGCACTATGTATTTTACCTGTCATGTTTGATTCTTTGTTTCCTAAAGAAACTACACCATTTCCAAACAGACTGGGAGGAGTATTAGGCAAGAATATTACTGAAGAAAAACAACTTAAGTCTTGCTCCACTCTGCTGCACTTCTAGCACAAATAGGATAACATGGTGTGAGTATCAAGAATACAAGAGATGGCACAGCCAGGTTGTTTTGATATTTGTGTGAAGAACAAATTTAACTCTAAATCTCTTGGCAAGACCTTGCTTCACCCACATAATCTGGAGAACATCCATATGTGAGCCTTGTCTAAGCCTCCGAGAAGACTGCTGCCCTCCTGCTCATGTCCGCCAGCACTCTGATCTGACTTTCATACTTAATCTGATCTAATCCTGGCCAGCATTAACTTCATCTGTGCAATGAAACCTGGAGTATCCATTCTAATATTTGGTGAGGAAGGCATTTACTAAATTACTTGCTGAAATCATATGGTGTTGTTTAGCTCCTTATTTTAATCAGATGATGCATTTCTGAGGCACATTATCAGCGATTAGTTAGAAACCCTCCTCTGTCCTTTTTGGGAACAAAGAACTTTTCTGAAATTAAATGCTGAGAGAAATAAAGCATTGTTGCATTCTGTCAACAAATAGGTATTAGAAAAAGGAAAAAAGACGACTAAATACACTTTCTCCAGTGCTATATAAAATCAGTAACTTTTCTGAAATAAGAAGAGTTTGCTTAACTAGCAAAATATCAAACGAAACAAAGCAAAAAGATTTAGAGGAATATTGTATCAGAAGCCACTTAAAAAGAACATTGTTTAAAAAGACAATAGACAGCCTCATACTTCCCTTTGCCTTTTTCCTTTAACTGTTTCTTAGTAAGGTACAGAAATCTGCTGAACTGAGCTGTCCTAGGAAGCTGTCCCTATTTTAAGAATTTGGTCTGTCACAATAGTTACATGCAATAAAACATAAACAGCTTTTTCTGTTTTGGACATTTACAGGGTCAAGAGCAAATATTCATGAAGGAAAGATGGATTCATTTAAAAATATCTACTTTCCTAAATGAAATTTACACATCTCTTTTTACACTGTCTCCATTCATATAACCCAAATAATTAATAATGTACCACTTTTAAAGTCAGCATGCAGCAAACATAGCACAACACAATTCTGCAAACCCAGTATCAGAAAAGGGTTGTGTCAATAATAAAATCTATTTGCATAAATTATTAAGCAACATATAATACTGTAACATGTATCTACCTTTTAATAAATTAAGTGCTATACTCTTTTTTTTACTAAGAATTCTCTTACAATTAACATATGCCTGTATAAATAATAAAAAGCCTATGTCTACAAATATTGCTGTCAAATTGATTTAAGAAGCAGAGTGCAATGGGGGGGAAAAAAGGGTTTTGAAAATATTTTTTTCCTGGGAAAGATTTTCCGGAGAACAAAAAAATATATCCCTTTATATCAATAGTCAGATCCTTCCTAAGAAGTAAGCTAATTGAGCTGTTTGTGTTGATAAACTCCCTTTTCTCCAGACTGTTCCTCACTGAGCCATAATTATTTGCAATTTGCCTAAGTCGTCCATTTACTGATACGTCAAGCATGAAACAGAGGCAATTCCAGAAAATGGAAATGCTTCTCAAAATCAATCTTTGGGAAATAATGTGGTAGAAGTTACTGTGTGATAGAAGACTACCTTATAACTGTCACATGGAGATGAATATTAATTTGTTGAGGTTAAGGTGGCTTTGTGCTTCATTTGTTGACTTTGCTTAGCCATCAGCAAGCAGCACAGTACAATTACTCCAGCAAAGCTATTTTTCTAACATGAGTTTTATGATTTTTATGTACTTACCAGTCAGCACACATAACAATGTCAAAATGTCCTTCCAGTTGAGAGACATCTGTCTCATTATCCCATCGTAAAATGCTAGAGGAAAAAAAAGATTTTTTAGAAAAAAGAAAAAAGAAAAAAGGACTTACATTTTTCATCTTGAGATTTTAAAAGTATTAATATTATTCTTATGTGACAGAGAAATGTTTTAAAAAGTACACACTTGCTACTTTCAAATATGAGTGTAAAAATATAATTCTGTACATTTTTAAGTTTTTAAATCTGAAAGCTAAAGAGCTTTAATTTTGTTATTATAACAGAAAGACAATCCACATAGGTTCTGAGGAGCGGATCACCAACAAATATGCATTTTGGAATTAGTGGCACATGTAGAGCTTCAGATTTTTACTCCTTAACACCACTGCACGAGGAAGTGAAGTCAAAGCATCAACAATTTGAATGAAACACATATTTGCAGAAGAGCTGTGAATTCATGAATCTCCGTTACATCTGGCAGGCAAGACAGTTCTGTTTCTCATTGATGAAGTGAGCATTCACTTGGGCTGGAGGGGAGGAGGGACAGGGTGAAAGAATGCCAAGCTTAACTTCAATGCCAGTTATGTTGCCTCAAGCAAGCTTAAAAATATAGCAATGCTGACTCTGTCAACACCTATTCTTTCGTAGGTGATAAGTTATTTAATTCTAAGGTACTCAATAGTAAGCAAAAATGCACATATGTGCAAAGTTCTTTTTTTTAATAAATGCTACCGATTTATGTAGCTGCCAAGAAGAAATTCAGTACTTTGCTCCCATTTAAAAACAGCAACTAGGATTGGAATTTACTGCATACTTAGAATATCATTACCCCAAAGATTTTAAGCTGCATTTCTATTTCTAGACCATTTTTTAAAGAGAATCTATCCTTCTTTTCCATTTTCTGGTCATTTATAAAAGAAAGTAGATAAATATTTATGGGAAAAGCACTTGTGGGGGAAGGGTCTAATCTGATCTTGTCAGGTTGTGCATGCTTATCTCAGTTTTGTATGAGTCTTGACCAAATACACCCTTTAGTCTTCCCGCAGCTATAATCTACTTCTGGTTAAAAGCCATCTCCATTCACATACTACTCCTAATATTTAACTGAGGATCAGTTATAATGTGTTCATTCAGAAATGTTCCGTAAGTATACAGGAAAAAAGGAAATTTTATACATCGACTACACTATATGCAAAATAGGTTCGTAAAGATGTAGATAGATAGATAGATATAGAGCCACAAAAAAATTAAAGTACCACAATATGCATGTACGTGTGCAGAGACACAAAATCTGAGACAGAATGCTTTTAAAACATGGAAATTATGAAACGAGAGGCCCAGTTGGTTGGGAAAGCTTTGATTATGTGGGGCTCAGTGTAACTGAACAGATCAGGACTCATTAGCCCATTTGCCCTCCTGGAATTTACTGTGACAATCCAAAGAGAGAAAAGAGTAGATTAATTTAATTTTTCCCCCTCAAATTGAAAGTATTCCAGATTTTAGAAGCCTAGGTAGCTTTGCACACTGGCACGCAGCAGGCATCCAGTAGTGGAAAGTGACAAAGGAGAGTTCTCACTCTCAGCTGCTGGCTGCCTGCTGGCTACCAGCGGCTTTTTCAACCCTGTTTCCGTGGAAACTTAGGTTAGAATGGTGAAAATTAGGTAAAGGTAAGTTCTGTGGGTTTAAAGCACGCACTCTAATACTTTAAGAATCCTGAAGCAGAACTGGAAATTGGTAGATGAACTGTGAGCCTTAAAAGGCCACCTTTGGTTCTCATTGCTACAGAAACAGAGATCTGATCAGTACCACTATAGGGATTTGAATTATGATTTTTTTAACCCATAAATTTACTATACTTCACACATGCAGTTCAGAAGGCAGCACAGGTGCCTCCTCATCGAAAAAAAAACCACCTCACTGACGTTACTGTCAGGTTCCTGCAGAGCATCCAAAATACAGCATTTTCTGTGCACACTTACTGTAGGCACAAAGGAGTTTGTGCAGGTAGGTAAAAGCTCAGACACCATAATGCTGAGCAAAATATGGAATTGACGAGTTGCCAGGAGCATGAGCAGTGGTGCAACCTGACTGGCATGTGTGTTGTTAGGAGGACACGTGTGCTAAGGGCCCCACATCCAGCCATGGGCCATTCTTCCTCCATTTCCCTGATCTGGCACTAGGGCTGCTCTTGGTCTCTAGCTCCAGTACAGGTGCATTCCTGAAGAAATGACAATTATGCAAAGACCAATGATAAATTTACATGCAAGATTTTAAAATTCAACTTTGCTGTGAATTTTCAAAAGGTACAGGAAAAATTTGATTCCTGTGGGGAAATAACCATGTAAACTGAAGATAATTTCTATTAAGTAAATACAAACAGGACTCATTCTGTTTTCACTCAGGATGTACCCACAATGGTGGGAGAGATGCAACTACAAGCCGTATATATTTATCCATGCTATCTTTAGAAGAGTGCAAGAGCGACTAGAAAGTGAAGCGCAGCTAGGGTATGTGAAGCTGCAACCTCAGAAACTGTTTAGGTAGCTAACTCTGGGCTACTATATCTGTACCGTTATCCATTTAATGCTTTCACAAATTTGCATGAGCTGCAGTGAAACACCTGCACCCACACCCATAAAGCAGACAGGGCCCACATATCAGGGAATCAGAAACAATTCTGCTTAGAGCTAGCATTATTACATCATGAACAATGATGTCAGAATCAGCTATTTTGAATTCGAGTGCTAATGAAAGTAGTGAATCAGAGTCAGGAGGTATATAAATACCATCAAGTAGTCACACAAGTCCTTGTAACCAAACAAAACTCCTAAGTGTGAAGTACAGAAAAATCCACTGATACTGCAAAACACCTCTGAGTAAAGATGTGTATATTTTTATCTAAATGCATGTATCTATACATAGTAAGAGGACGAGGGACAATAATTTTTTCAGATTATTGAGGACGTGTCTCTTGGACTTGGTGGTCAGATGTGAAAGAAACACCGAAGGCAGCATTAGGTAAGGGCTGATTGCATTTCCATTTAAAGAAAAGCACTGGTAGGAAGCCCAGGAAAGTGTTAGCAACAGAATTCTGAAAATCTCAGTCTTTATGAACTTTCCTTTAAGAAAAAATAGACATAACTGTAAAAATACCACACCACAAAGTCTTTTAAATCACCAGTATCAAGCTGAGTGCCAACATGAAAAAAATGCAAGCCTTGTTAATACTTTCCTTTTGTTCCCTTTCCAATGATGCAAATTAGTAGACACTTTTCTAAAGCTACTTTTCTTCCAGCAAAAGAGGAAGTTTTACAGCTATAATATTTTTATGTCTTTCTTCTGAGGGAAGACATTACAGTACTAACAGCTTAAATTATTTTGTAAATTTGAAAAATGCACTTTACTCTGTATTTCTGTCCAAGCCATATATTCAATGGCTTTTTTTGTAAAACAACAACAACAACAACAACAAAAACCCACCAAAAACCCAAACCAAACAACAAACATGAAAACCCCAAAACACATTTAAGGCTGTGTAAAGCCCACCCCTGACATTACTTTGTGCCAGCTTATTTAACTCATGCAGGTTTAGTTTCTTGCAATTGAAAATAGCCAATTCAGCTTCAGCAGAAAAAGGTCTGAAACCCACTGGAAATATAAAACATTTTGGGAGCTTCTTTTGGCTACAACAAGAACATTAAAAAATGAAATAGGATACAAGGGAAAAAAACACTACTGCACTGTTAAGCTACTTCGGTCAAACTGATGGTGGCTGAAACTTGGTACCCACTAATGGCTGCTTTATGGCCTGTATCAATTGAATTTGACCAGTTTTCAGAGGGAAAAGTACCCACGTCACAAACCTATTACTATAATTAGCAATCTTGATGGCAGTCCTAGCAAAAAGGACAAGGACTGAATGAGCTATGAAGAATGAACTATCCTCTTACGTGCAGAGGTGGCTTTTCCAGGTCAGGGATAAAGCATACTATTGAAACAGTCTGAGAAAATATGTACCGATGCTTTAGTTTCCGAGGCTGTGAATCTTATACCATTCTAAAGCAACAAATTCGTTAAAAAAAACCCCAACAAACAATCAAAGCATTTTTCTTTTTCTTTTTTCTTCCTAATTTATCTTTTAAATTGACAAGCAAGTCAGCAAATGTGATTAGGGTCAAGATAAAAAGAACTGTAATGATAACAGAACAAAAAGATCATCTGAGAAAACAGAGATTTTAACTACTACCATCATACTCCCAAATATCCCTTTGTATTTCAAAGGAAAAAAAAAGCTCAAACAAAATAGCAAATGTCTGCAGGGATAGTTACAGCAGCCAAAGCTCTACTTCCCCTGCACAGTAATTCTAATTTATGGAGGATAGCCTGACAAATGTCGACACTCTTTTTCTTACACTGGTAAAATATCTCAGCAATCTACAACAAAAGACCTGATTTTACCAGGTTTTTATTTCTCATGCAAAATTCCTCATTACTATTATTATTCAACTTCTGTTATTCAGTGTTTGTCTTCCTGGTGTGTCTAGGCAGGTAATGTACGTGAGAAAAACAGGTTAAACCTCTGATTGTTAAAACTTGAAACATTTCCAAGTCCCTCTGAGATGTTCTTGTGATGAATGACACAGGCTGGAGTAGCTCTCAAGTCAGCAGAAGAGTAGTTGTGCAGATAAAGACAAAAAAAAATCAAAATTAGAAGAAAGGACAAAAGAGACAAAAGTCTTACTTCCTTCAAAATGTATTAGTAGTTTTAATAAAGATAAAAAAATCTGTCCCACTTAGCAGATGAACAGCTACCAAGAACCCCTATCTACCCACCTCTTCTTTTCATATTTTAATTTAGGCTTCAGTCTTTGAAAATCATTATCATTTGTAAGCACACAGGTTCAGGTAAAAGATTTTGTCTGGAGGTTTATGTGACTTTTTCTATGACATTAACCAAGCTAGTTCACTAACACATTAACAAAAGGCATCATCAGGGTGTTTCTCTACACCTTGATCTTTGTTTGAGATTCCTCAGTTCTGTATAAAGATCAAGAAGATGG